GATGAGTTGGAGAAGGTGGGTGACGACGACGACCTCGATACTTGGTCTCCTAGACACTCCCCGGAGGTTCCTGATGATCTATATGGAGTCACTCACGAGCGTGATTTGGGGCTGTTTTCCAAGTTGTCACACAAAAGATAGTCGTGATCTTGGAACTATTCTCCATGATTGCGTTATTGCTTGAGCTTGTATGCGTGCATCGTTCATTCTTTCAATTTACTCAGTCGTTTTTCATTCAAGAATACTTGGAGAATTAATCGGGGATCTGGCTACCCACCTAGGTCGTGAGGGGCGGAAGGTTGGCAGGGCCGACCTTGACCGCGCCCTGCTTGGTAAGGCGGGGCTGACCCGCACACTATCGATCTGGGACCCATGAGTGTGCAAGCTGTTCGGCCATTGGTCAGACAACGGATGTACGAGAGGGGCTCGGGGCACGACTTCACGCATACCTTTGACCCGGAGGCCGGTCTTACACCTTAACTTGTACAACTAGTATCATACTTAGGAAATATCTTGGCTATTCCATTTCTGAAAGTCGAATTGAAGTCGGCCAAACGTAAGGGCAAGGCCCTGCATGATCAGACCATAACGGACCCGCATCATTGATCCTGTCAAGCGCGTATGCGGGCGGGCTGCTAAGCCTAGCAACATCAGATAACGGATGTACGAAAAGGGCTCGGAGCACAACCTTCCGCATACATTCGGTCCGGAACCGGTCATATAGTTGTCGCATCGTTGATTGGATCATACGTGCATGCGAGCTATTTAGACAGCAACATCAGACAACAGATGTACGAGAGGGGCTCGGGGCACGACCTCTCTCATACCTTTTCGACCCGGAGGCCAGTCTTACGGTCGCCCTGACCGAGCAGCTAATCCTAGACTTAGAAAATAGTTTGATCATTTCCTTGCCCAAGGATCGAGCCGTGGTCGCCTAAACACCGAGAGCGGGGCGTCATAGTATTTTTTTTTGTTTTTTTTGCCGCCGCCCGTTCATTTCCAAGTGAGGTCGGACCTCATTAAATTCCAGACTGGAAAACGAAATATTTTTTTTAAGTAATGAAAGAATTTGACAACTTGAGGAGTTGCTCCAAGATCTACACTTGATTTACAATTTGTGATGATCCGCTCATAGAATTTGAGAGAGTTGATCTGCGCTCCGCACTTGATCTACCAACTCGTGATGCTCGGCTCTTAGGATTTGACAATTTACCCTGCGCTCCGCACTTGATCTACAAGCGCGTTGTGCCCCGTTCATAGAATTGGCAAAGTGCCATGCACTCCGCTTGATCTACAAACTTGCAGTGCCCCGCTCATAGAATTTGATAAGGTGCCTTGCGCTACGCACTTGATCTACAAGCTTGTGATGCTCTGCTCATAGGATTTGACAAAGTGTCCTTCATTGATCTTGATCTTCTGCTCGGTCTCTGGAGGTCAACCTGGATTTCTTCGACTTCATAGGTGGGTTCATCGCGAAGCTGACCCTCCTCATACTTCGTAGCTTTGTTGTTGATGGTATGGACCCTGAGGTCCACCCGCTCGAGTTGTTTGAACGCCTTCGCGTAATGGCTTCGTGTAATGGCTTCGTGTTGCAGGGTTTTATTTCAACGGTGCTTCCGAGTCTTCGAGTCACAGCTCCGTGTTGCAAGGTTTGTGCCCCTTGGCAACGATGCTTTCATGCTACTGTGAATTTCTGCGTCATAGGGCTTCTTCGTATCAACCCGGGAATGTCTCCACGTCCACAAGAATAATGTGACTTGAATGCTTATGCACCTCTTCATGTGCTGTCAACGTATAGAACCCTTGAGCCAAAGCTCCTAGAACGTGTTGGCTTCCCGGAACGCTTGCACCCTATCATGAAGCTGTTTCGGCTCCGTGCGCAGAGCACGGTAGGGTTCACCTCTAAGAAGATCACGGGCGAATTGCACGTTACGACTGTGATCCAGTGTACCCCTCGAGTCTCCAGGATCCGACGATTGATATCAGAGATCTCCTGTCAGCATCATCACTTGGCTCCTAGGGGTGAGCATTCAGTCGGTCGGTCAAATAACCGACCGATAACAGAATAACCGACCAATATTTTTTACTCTAATAACCGACCGATAACCGACCGACAACATTACAAAAACCGACCGAAAAATGCCATTCAGTTTCGGTCGGTAACCGAATAACCGAATAACCGACCCTATTTGAAAAGCATATAATTTTCAAAATTATGAAAGTTGTAGACAACGCATTAATAAATAAAATAATAAATACCAAAATAGATCTAACTTATTTAAATGTAAGTAATAGTACAAAAGCACACTACATATGCACACATGATGCATCACCCACATATATCTTTTTCAACCAGGAGACAAAATAAAAAATGACATGTTAGCAAGTAATTAAGCTATTAACTTCTTAAACATTTAACTCCAAACCAGCAAATTGATCTAACGAGGTCAAGGGTTGAGGGCTCCAGGGCATTCGACTATTGGGTTTCATAGGTGGACTTCAATAAGTGTGGGCTGGACTTCATACTATGGACTTCAATAAAACTTCTTTTCCTTAAAAAAAACTTATATATTTTGGACGGTTATCGGTGACCGACCGATAACCGATAAATATAACCGAATAAAAACCAAATAACCGAATAACCGATTCTTTTTAATTTATTATAACCGAAAACCAATCGATAACCGATTTTTTCGGTCGGTTCGGTCATCGGTTTTTTGTCAGGTCGGTTAAATCAGTAATTTGCTCACCCTTATTGGCTCCTTACATGATGGTCGTTGTGCTGTCCATATTGCTTGGTGTGAATGAAAACTTCCTACCGGTGTTCTCGCCTTCCGGGTCATCACGCTTCCCCTTTGTCCTCCTTCTTTCCTTCTGCTCGACGCCTTCTGCCTCAGTATGGCGATCTGCATGCCCTTGTGGAATGGCTTTGCGTTGCAAGGTTTATAACCCCATAGAAACGGTACTTAGACCTTCATGATCAGCCCCGCATTGCAAGGTCTGTACCCCTTTAGCGACGATGCTTCCAGGACTTCGAGTAGCAACTCCACGCTATAAGGTCTGTACCCCTTTAGCAACAGTGCTTCCTTCCTTCCCAGGACGAGTGCTGTTGGGAGGGCCTCCTTCCCGGCTGCCGCTGAGTTGCAAGGTTTGTACCCCTTTAGCAACGATGCTTCCATGCCTTCAAGTAACAGCTCTGCGTTGCAAGGTCTGTACCCCTTTGTCAACAATGCTTCCAGTACTTTTGAGTAACAGCCCGCGTTGCAAGGTTTGTTCCTCTTTAACAACGGTGCTTCCTTCCTTTTCGGGATGAGTGTTGCCGGGAGGGCCTCCTTCCTGGCTGCCACTGCGTTGCAAGGTCTGTACCCCTTTAGCAACGGTGCTTCCATGCCTTCGAGTAATAGCTCTATGTTACAAGGTTTGTGCTCCTTTGACAACAACGCTTCATCATGGTACCGGTGGATGGTTCTGGTACCTGGAGGTCGGCCACGCATGGCTCTCCCCTGACGACCCTTCTCCTCAGCTTGTGCAGCCTTAGCCTCATATCTTCCACCGCATCAGGTGCCGGTTCTGCTCATGCGCGCCCAACGCGGACCTGAACTTGCGCAGAAGACTCTGCAACCCTCTCACGTACGTGAGGTCAAGATTTAGCATGACGTCCATCCGGTAAGGCTGTCCGCCTGCCTGGTCAACGGGAGTGTTAAGACGAGTCGCCCTTCCTGGTTACCATAGCTACCCAACTTGTCGGGACACATACTCCTTTCGAGATCCGTCTGTGCTGGTACATCTTTGCTGATACGTCCCCGGGGAGCCAACCGACTACCTGGTCGATGAGAGTGATGAGACGAATCGTTCCCTCTTTCCCGGAATGAGTGCTGCCATGAGGGCCTCCTTTCTAGTTGTCGTGGCTGCTCAACATTCCGGGAGACATACTCCCTTCGAGATCTGTCTGTGCTGGTGCGTCTGTGGTGGTACGTCTCAACTTGCCGGGACACATACTCCCTTCAAGATCCGCCTGTGCTGGTATGTCTCCCTCATCAGTCCGTCATGCTCCGAGCATACGAGCATAGTGTATGAGCATCGAGCGTACGAGCGTCTGGGGTGATAGCTCCGAGCGTGCACGACCTCGCGATGGTGCTCTGCAACCACGACTCGTTGGCACGACTAATCAACCTACAATTTCAAAAAACTTAAAAGAAATTTGAAATTTAATTTTTATTGTTTAATGGTTGTCCTTTGATTGTCCTTTGCTTGGACCAAAATTAGAGTATTGCTACTCCTCCTTTGGTGAAATTTTGACTAGGTCAAAATTAATCCTTTCCAGGAGAAAGAGAAGTCCATCAGTGCTGTCCAACTAGCGCTGCTGCCAGAGAGAAAACCGGGATGTTTCAGTCGTAATCGTCGTTCCATGGGCTTGGCCCAATTTTATCAACTAATACTGACGATTATGGGTCAACCAGCCCAATAAGTAATTAAATAATCCCGGACCAATATCCGGTAGCCGGACTGTGATCTGAACTTGCTCGGGCCAAAGCTCGGGTGTAACAGGCCGATTATCTTGGACCCGGCCCATTATCCCAACAGTAATAATAGTAATAGTAGTAATAGTACTACTACTACTACTAATAACAACAACAACAATAATAATAATAACAACAACAATAATGATAACAACAACAACAACAATAATAATAAGAATAATAAAATATGGTATGATATGGTCTGGTTTGGTCTGGTCTGATCTGTTTTAGTCTGATCTGGTGTGATCTGTTTTGGTCTGGTCTGGGACGAATTACAGTCCAAATAAAAACAACCTAGATCAACAAATTTCAATACAAGTAAAAACATAGTCCCTATTTATTTTGCTAGATGGTCGCTTTATTTCTTGAGAGTTGAGAATTGAGACTCCGTGTTCTAAAACCTAATTAGAATACCGGGTCACAGGCCGAGTCATAATAGGGAATGCAAAGTTCGTAACAAACAATGTCATAACCCGGTCAGGCCCATATACAATGTGAATACGGTTCAAGATATAATCCTGCGTCTGTGTGCGTAGAGTGTAGCGTGCCACCGGATTTCGTTTTCTCTTCGTTGTCTAGGGTCCGTGCAGCTTCTCAATCATGCAGCCAAACGGAGTTGCCCCACCGCCGATGGCGCCGATGCAAACCAATCCGGCTCAGCATCCACCGCAGTACCCGCCGTGGATGTCGGTGCCTCCACCGCAAGCTCATCCTCCGACCGTCTGGCCTCAGCAGCCACCGCCGATGCCGCACGCCATGCCTCTTCCTCATCAGCCACCGCCGATGCCACATGCCATGTCTATGCCTCAACAGGCTCAACAGTACGGTTCTCTCCCCTCCGGTGCGACTCCCGTCTCTGCATCGGCCCCCAACGAGATTAAATCTCTGTGGATTGGGGACTTACAGTACTGGATGGATGAAAATTATCTTAATGGCTGCTTTGCTCATACCGGAGAGGTGAGTATTTGTATCTAGATTATTCGAAAGATTTCCTTTTAGCTTCAGTAGTCTTATTATTGAAAATAATTTGGTATTTTGTTGGTTGTATGGTTACCTGAAAACTAAGAAAATAGCAACTTTTTAAGGCTTTTAACTTTTTAAGAATAATTTGGTAGAAGGTTCATCTGTTGCTTTTATGGCTACTTGAAAATTAATGGAAATAGGCAGTTTTAGGGTTTTCATATTTTAGACAACTCAAAATCTGACCCTTGTTCTATTGTAAGTCTGACAATCATTTTACCCAACCTATATGATGAAGCAATTCCCTTTTGATTAAATATATCACATGAAATATTCCTGGTATTTTCTTTCAATAACTGAAGTATCTCTGATATTTTTTTGTCTTACAGCTTGTGACCTCAAAGGTCATCCGCAACAAGCTAACTGGTCAATCTGAGGGTTATGGATTTATCGAGTTTCGGAGTCGAGCAGCTGCAGATAATATCTTACAAACATATCATGGATCACTCATGCCAAATTCTGATCAAAACTTCAGGCTGAACTGGGCAACATTTGGAGCTGGTGAGAGGCGTGATGATACACCAGATTTCACCATCTTTGTCGGAGATTTGGCTGCTGAAGTGAACGATGAATGTCTTCTAGAAACTTTTAAAGCCGTGTATTCATCGGTAAAAGGTGCAAAAGTTGTCACTGATAGGGAAACTGGACTTTCCAAGGGCTATGGATTTGTCAGGTTTGGAGATGAGAGTGATCAATTACGTGCCTTGACTGAGATGAATGGTGTGGTGTGCTTAAGTAGGCCTATGAGGATCGGACCAGCTGCTAACAAGAACCCTGTTAATACACATCAGAAAGGTTTGTTCATGTACTTTATTCAGCACTTAGTTATATTTTGCTTGATTTTCTGTTTAAAAGATCCCCCGTCTTCAAATTATATTTCGTAATCTGATGAATTTATTCTTGATGGTGTTGCTTTTGATTAAATTGGTGACCTCATTGTTGGTGTGGTGCTTGCTTTGTTAACAATTCTCAGTGTAAAAGTTGATATTCATCTCAGTCATGCCCTTTTTCAGCCATAGCTTCTATACATATCGTTTGCACACTTCAAGGTTTTTGAGAATTTTGCAATCATGTTCTTCCACACTTGCCATTGTAAAACTGGTCAACTTTACTTATGCCAAAACTTGCATAAACTTATAAAACTCATCTTGTCTCAAAGCAGGAACACATAGGCTCTCGTATATAGGGGCCTGGAACTGATTTTCAGCTGAAATGATTCCACTTTAATGCGTGGCCTCATTTTAGGTCAGTTAATTGTTTATGCAATGAGTTTCCTTATTTTAGTTTTGTGGCATCTCTTATGCTACATCAAGTTAGTGTCAATATACTTACTAGTCACAAGCCTTCTTAAATTGATTCTCACAATCTCAAGTGCTGCAACTTTTCTTCTGCTGCTTTTCTATTTCATTTATATCATAATATTCAATTGAACTCATGCTCGCCCATTTCTTTCCATTCTTTTTGTTAAATAACACACCACAATGCTCCTCTCATGAATATTCCATTCAAATTAGCGATTCTCAAGCATCAAATCATTCCTATGAGTTCAACTCCCTTGGTTAGCGTAAGGTATGGCTTTATACCATATCCACATCTTTTGTATTGCTTCCTAATTCTCTCAAGATACCCATCCGTTCTTTTGTATCTGTGTAGTTCATTCCACATTACAGCTCACACAATATTTATATTTAAGATTTAAGATTTACAGTTTTCACAGGTAGCTGATTATTTGGTTGGCTGAAGCAGATATTTTCATGATTTTAAGTGGCATCAACTTGTATACACTCTATAATTCTGTAAAATCCAACAAAAGGGTGGGCACATAACCCAAGACACCTATGTTCAAGTATTATTCAAGCAGTGTTTGAATAAACATTATACGATGGTTTCTGAAATTGGCAACATCAATGTCAAACCTACGTGTCAAAAAAAGGTTCTCAGCGATTGAATCCATTATTTAATGGAGTGGTAGTTATTACATTTTCACTTTACCACTATCCATGCACAACAAACTAGAAACCATAAAAACAGAACAAACATTATTCCTTTTCTTTTTCAAGATCTTCAAAATCCATAGTGAATGAGCTAATGTGAAATTTAACTAAGTCTACCGTGACAAAGTTTGAACAGAACTGTGCAGTGCCCTCCATCAAATATAAATGATACTACCTCCGTCCCTTGAAACTTTGCCAAAGTTGACTTGCACGGAGAATAATAAAGTAAAAACTGTGTGGTTGAGGTTTGTGCAGAGGAGAGAGAAATAACAGAAACCACAAAATAGTTGATTTAAAGGGAAAGTGGCAAAGTTTTTTTGGGGACGGAGGGAGTAATAAATACCTAATTAAGTAAATAAAATAAAATTACTAATTTAAGGAGGGCTTTATGAGTGGTTGTTTGCTGCAAGTGTTTGACTTCTTTCTCCTGTCATGAATTATATTTATTTGTCCAACAGTACTTTTTTGGATCACACTGTTCCATGATCTTTGATCATGGTTGCTTGCCTGGAGATACAAACTTTTTGGATCACACTGTTCCGTTATTTCTGCACCACAAATACGTGTTGTTGCATTGGCATGGTAGTGAACACTGCCACTATGCATCTTGTGTTGTGCTTTGGCGGTTCTCTTGCAATATTTTTTCTTGAATATCCAACCGATGAATATTTGATTTCATCATTTTCTTCGAGTTAAGCTTTGATCTTTTGATTTTCTATCACTGCAGCTACATATCAAAATCCTCAAGCTAGTCAAGGCGAGAGCGACCCTAATAATACAACAGTGAGTAGCTTGTCCCAAATTGACAATATTTGATTTAGTATTGGAATGCACACATTTTAACTCATTTGTCATTGCAGATATTTGTTGGGGGTTTGGACCCAAATGTTTCAGAGGACCATTTGAGAAGTGTATTTTCACCATATGGTGACCTCATTCATGTCAAAATAGTTGCAGCTAAGCGGTGTGGTTTTGTCCAATTTTCTAATAGGTGAGCAAGAATTTAGATTTAGGCTATGTTTGGGACTTGGAAAATGGTGAGGATGGGTAAGAAGACACATTTTTTTTGTGACTAATGATTGGGTTTCAATAGAAACTATAAAGCAAAATCAAAATGTCTGAAAATCTTGTTCCCTTGAGATCTATTTAGAATTTTTAGTCTTTATATAGCAGAATTATATAAATAAAATGAGTTTGAACTTTGAAAAATATCTAAAATTGAATACTTGAGTTTTATACTCCTCTCCCATATCATTTCATTTTAAATTTATGTTCTATCTTTTCCCCTTGTCATTCTCTGAGTTCCATGAGTTAAGTTATGAATTTGTATGTTAACTATTCATTTTCACTTTGTCAGGGCATCTGCTGAGCAAGCTTTATCAGGCCTTCAGGGAGTCAAGCTAGGAGAGCAGAATGTCCGTCTTTCATGGGGACGCAACCCATCTAGCAAACAGGCAGGCCAGACTCAGTGGGGTGGTGCTGGTAGTGGAGGCGCGGGTGGTGCCTATTACGGGTATGCACAAGGTTATGATGCCTATGGATATGCCCCTCCTGCACAAGACCCTAACATGTACTATGGAGGTTACCCTGGATATGCAAATTACCAACAACCCCAGCAGGTATGATGCAAAGCCAATTTGGTTAAATTTTTACAAATACAGATTCTAAAAAGAGGACTGTTTATTAGTGTAGAACCTGTAGAAGATTTTAAGTTTTACATCATGTTATGTTTACTCTTGTTGAGGTGAACGATGAAACTTTGATGGTTTTCTGGTATTTTCAGTGAGAGCAGCTACGGCTTGTGACCTGTCAGTCGATCATGGCAGGCTAGGTCTGTCATCAGTGCAATGTGACTGGTTTTTATGAAGATGCTTGGTGATTGGCATGCCACTCGGAGATTTTTCTTTTTCTTTAGTAGAGTATGTGTGGATGGGGGCAGTTATCCATATCAATGTCCAAACATCTCTTGGTCCAATGGTCTGTAATCCATGTTGTCCTGGCTTACTTTTATCTTGAATCTTGGCTTGTCTTTTGGTTAATTTACTTTATGTTATTTATCAAATTTGAATTAATGTTCATCATGTCATTCTTGTTGCTTTGAATCCCCTCCCTCCCTCCCTCGTATTGTATTGCTACCAAGCTGGAGTAGTGGAGTTACTTGGGACCCACAATGGAGTTAGGGTGCTTGGGAAGCATCAGTTTTTTGGGGTTTACCACTTTACGTTCCCTGATCTGGGGAATCCAAACAAACTCCTTGGGGCCTCCGTCCCACAAGACTTGACAGCCCTTCCAAATTGCTTCATCATTTCCATCTAAACTTAAGTAATAAATATGTAGCTAAAATTATTTTTTCTTCTGTGTAAATTTCAATCATGATGTTTTACTTCATTGTTATGGTGTATAAATCCATTTTGATCAAATTTTATGGAACAGACTCAACAGAGTAGTAGACTAGTAGTTATCAGTTATGAAGAATGACAATTATATTATTTAGAACTTTTGAATTGACAAACTAAGACATGAATCTCCTGTGGTTAGGTATGGACCCGGGCTGGTCCGGTTCTGAGCCGGCCCCGGGCGGGTTTTTTTCCCCAGGTACTTGGGCCGGAGGTAGCCGGCTGTGGACTTGGCCTGATTTTGATAATTTAGCCTTCTGGAATTAGTAATTTCTTGGTACCGGAGGTGTTCCTGTGGGGAGCCCTCGGTATGGTTTGTATTGTCTTGTGATGCCGAAGGACTTCCTGTTATGATTTGTTGGAGTTGTGTACTCATTGATTTCTCGTTGAGTCTACTCCCCTTCACCCCTCTTTTTTTTGGTAATGAAGGGAAGACTTCAAGAAACTTGGTTTCTTGGTAAGGCTTGGCCTATCGGGAGTCAACATCATACACCATTAGCTCCCCCCTCGGGTTAACCTTCCGAGTTCCGAGGGGATCGAGGGTCGTTTCCTGGGCATGAGACCTAGTCTGTAGACTACCACCGTAGGTTCACACCTTCGCTCGGTGCTGCCATCGCAACTCCGCAACTTCATCACGAGCCACCACAACAGCTTCGCCGCTTGCCTTCTTTTTCATCTCTTTCTGTTTGGCGTTGGGATGAAGAATTTGAGTAGATATCGATCGATGAATTCCTCCTCATTTTGGTGTCCAGTTCCAGAAGGTCGCGTGGCACTAAGGTTGGGGTTGGTCCAAATCAAGAAGGTCGTGCGGCGGTTGAGGTTGGAGATGGTCCAGATCAAGAAGGTGGTGTGGGGGCTTGGGTTGGGACTCAACTGGGCAGGCACTGTGACAACTAGGGTGGGTCATGAGTGGGGTTTGGTGGGTGGCTGGTGGAGTCTGCTAAGTCTAGGGTTTCTGGTCAATGGGAGGGGCATGATTGGCACTCGCCCCGTCAGTAGTGGCGGCCGGCAGATCGCTTGATAGGTTGCCAGCGGTGGTCATTTTAGACCGGGTAATTTGTAAATATCCGAACCGAGTAATTGTAACGGATTAAGACTAGTAACTATAACTGATTGGATTGGGTAACTGTAACAGATCATGTCGGGTTGGGTAATTGTAACGGGTCGGGTCAGGTAACTGTAATTGGTTGGGTCAGGTAATTATAACCGGAGGATTAGGTATCTGTAACTGACGGGCCCGGAACCGGACCGGCCCAGAACCGGCCCGGCCCAGAACCGGACCGGCCCAGAACCGGCCCGGCCCAGAACCGGACCGGCCCGGTGAACCGGTTGGTGCCCGGTTCGGGCCACCCGGCCCGGTGAGGTAGGTGGGCCGGGCCCGGGCCTCCTAAATCGTGAACCGGCCCGGTTGGTTCGGGCCCGATCCGGGCCAATTTTTTTTTTGAATTTTTTAAAGTTTTTGGGTTGGGCTGGGTATGATGGGCCATTTGAGGTAGTTTGGGGTTAATTAGGAAAAGCCAAAAAAAAAAAATATAAGAACCGAGGCCCGGCCCGACCCGGCCCGGACCCGGGGGTTACCCGGGCCGGTTCCGGGCCTTCCCTTTCATGAACCGAGGTCCAGCCGGGCCCAGGCCCGAACCGGTCCATCCCTAACTGAGACGGTTGTCACTTGAGCAGTAGTAGTAATTGATACCGTCTTCATTGGAAGAGTAGTAATTGGGGCATTAGTCACTGGATAATTGTCACACAATTTTCATATACTAATATTTATTTTCAGAAATAATATTACAATATTAAAATAGTTTTATAGACTTATAGTCTGTTACTGGGTGCATCGAAAGAATATTAAATAAAAAAAACATTAGTCAATAGAGTGCATCGCAAAGGTCTTGAGCTGCATTGGTATGGTGCTCAAAACTTAGGAAGGATAAATTAGTAAAGAATGCCCTTGGTCACATTTTTGAAAATTAAGAAAAGAGGTCACTTTTTTTGCCTATTACCTTTTTTTGGGTAATATTTGTGTCAAAACTCCTACGGAGTATTAGTTAAATGGTCGAGGAAGTAACTAAAAACAATGTTTTTGAATGAACTGATTCATTGAAGTAGGAACATGGAAGAATGTAACCTAAAAGGCTAAAAGAAAGAAGGAAAGAAAGAAACTTGATGCAGCAGCACTATAAACGCTGGAAGGATAGGAACACAGAGAAAGGAAGGGGAGGGAGGATAGCTATAAGAAGTTTGTTTGGTTGGCTTGGCGCAATCTCTCATCTTTGCATCGCCTTTGATCTGCAACCATGGACACAAAAACATCAAGAAGATCATCCAAGCCGCCTTTTGAATTTTCATCATCTTCTTCGCCCAGAGCCTTGAGTGCATACACAATGCTCTCAATGGTGGAGAAGCATCCCTCCTTTGGTTGATGCCTCACTTCACCATACAAGCTGCTCATCCCATCCAACACATCAAGCTTCACATGTGGCAGCAGCTTCAGCCATGGGTTCTCTTTGTACATTCTCTTAGCTTTACTCCAAGTCCCATCCAACACTACCAAATTCCTCACTTCAACACTTTTCAGAGCTTCAATCCTCACTGCTTTTTCACTTGGGAAAAGAAGCACTGACCCAGCACCAACTCTAATTTCAAATTCTTCATTCTCTTCTTCTCCGTCTCGGTCTCTCAACATACTTGTCAAGGAAAGACAAGAGGATAAAATCAGAGAAGGATTAAAAATCGGAAGGAATATATGAGCATATGTACTTCCTGTATACAAATATATAATCTTTATCAAGTGTTGGTAAGAAAATAAACCCTCAGCACTTATTAGAAATTTATTTGTGAGACCCAAACAAACATACCCCTCAAGCCCAATGCCTCTCCTCAAGGGCTTTGTTTGCAACTTTTTCACCAGAAACCCTTTGCTCAGATCCACAACAGCTTCCCTTGAAGCCAATAACCGATCAAAACCGCATCTTGGCTGTAACCCATTCTCCATCATCCAAACATCTTCGAAAGATAGAACTGTCCCGTACTTGTCAACTGCAAACCCGACTACGTTTTGGTCACAGCTACTCGACCTTTCAAGATTTGAGCTAAACAAGCGCCGGATTAAAAACCGGGCCTGGGAATTGATATCGGAAACTGGGATCACACTAAGATTCTGGAGGGCAATGGATGCTATTCGGGAGGAATTGAGAGGGTGCTTCTTCTCTAAACTGTGCTGAAGGATTGTGACGGCGATGGAGTTGTGGAGCTTTGGAACCTTGAGGCGGGTGCAGAGGCAGAGGCGGGTCGGTTTTGAGCACGACTGGCACATGGCTCGTCTCTCGGATTTAGTCGCCATTTCTGTGTTCTGGGTTTGATAAAGAATTGATCTTTGAGCCGTTAAAGGGCTGATAACAAGAGGGTGGCACCGTTTGTGAAATGATCCGACCCGTTTCAAGCTCTGGCCTTGCATTCATTCACACCAAAGATCCAGTGCTAGCTCACCACAAAGGAGGAAGAATATGTTTTAACAAAAAGTCTATTTGTACTCCTAAAACAATTACCACCATTTTACCTCTTCCCCCACTTCTCTCTCCTCTCTCCTCTCTCCTCTCTCCCCTCCCTTCTTCTAGGCCATTTCTTCCTCTGTTTTGTTTTCTCTTCATTTTCAAAATCCTTTTCAATTCACCATCAATTATCAACTCACTAAAATTATGAGTCTCTTCCTTCCCACATAATCCGACCATTTAGTCTTAAAACTTTGAATGTTGAGGTAATAATTAATTTCAGTTTTTTTTGCCTTTGAGATTATGCTTTTTCCCCTTTTCAGATTTTATGTATCTTGTTATGTTGGAAGCAAAGATTTTAGTATGATGTTGAATGTATGATTATTTTGTTCCATCGTTATGGGTTGATGATATAAATTTTTGAAATTTCAGCCAAACTATTCTACTACGTATTTGTTTTTTATGCACATGACATGTTTGTTTAAATGTTTCACTGATTTTATGAATGTTACTCCGTAATTTATATTGTTTGTGTGTTCATTTATTTTGTTTGTGTGTAGAAAATATTTGTCTGTGTGTTAGTTAATATGTCATGTTGTTGATATAACTTTATTTGTGCATAGAAAATTATTGTCTGTGTGTTCTTTTATATTGTCTTGTGTGATTAAAATATTGTTTGTGTATTCGTTTATTTTGTATGTGCATAGAAAATAATTGTATGTGTGTTCATTTATATAGTGTGTGTGTGGTTTTAACATTATATGTGTATTTGTTTATTTTGTCTATGTGTAGGAAATAATTCTCTGCGTTTGTTTATATTGTTTGTGCATTCATTTAAACATCTATTCATTTATTTTGTCTGTGCGTAGAAAATAATTGTTTGTGTGTTCATTTATATTGTGTGTGCAAGACAACGAGCTTACCCGAGATTAATAATTATATATTTGTGAGCATCATAGACACCCTATTTTTATTAGAATTACCCTCTCAAGCTAAAAATCATTAGGCTAATTATACACGGATTATTAGCACAACTTCAATTCCTTTGACAATATATAAAGTCATTCTCATAATACAAAAGATAAACATTGAAAACGCAAATAACTCTACTTACAATATCATTGTAAATACAAGAACATTAATTTCACAATATAACTAATTACAAAAATTAATAGCACAACATGCATTTAGCCTCTTATCCAACTCTACAAGTCGAGATGAAGCAAACAACAATGGTTTCTGCAACAAGAGAAATTCCATAGCCAGGTGACCTAGAGTAAACATAAAATGCATTGGATAATATCACTACCGGTAAATGAACACAGACAAATATTTTCTACACACAAACAAAATAAATAAACATACAAACAATATTTTAACTACGCACAAACAATATAAATTAACACACACTGAGAAGTTCTAACCTTCTCCTTTACCATATTATTTCATTTTACCTCAAATAAATTCTGAACTATAAATATACACTACAATTTACAAAATAATCCAAAAAATAAGTTCATCTTAGAAATTCACATGAATTAAATATGCAATTTGATGATGACAAAAACATATATAACATAACTACAACTATAATTGTAACTTCACGAAATATTCATTAAAATTGCAGTGAAACATTTAAACAAACATGACATGTGCATAAAAAATAGAATAGTGTTGGTAGAAAATATTCTGGGTAGAGAAACTAGCAGCACTTCGGTATAGTAAAATAGCGTAGAGAATACATGGGGGGTTGATGGCCTATTTATAGGCATCCATCATAAGTCTAAAGTCTAATCTACGTGGGCTTGGCTCATATTAATAATACATCTCCAAGCTAATGGGCGAACCAACCCGACAAATAAGTAAATGAGCAAGGGGCGACTCCCACTCGTGAGACTGCATCTTGGGCCTAGTTGGGCCTAAGCTCGGGGATAACGGGCCGATGGCACTGGCCCTGGCCCATTATCCCAACACGAGTCCCCCACTCCCTTAGTCGAGTAGTGGACTCGGCTAAAAGGGAGTAGTTGAGCTACTTTGAAATCGGCCCGGTTGCCAGGCTAGCTAGCTAGTTACATAGATGTTCGTTGATAATGATGATTTGTGGTGTGCCCGAAAAGGTCGATCATGTAACACTATGGTCCCATTGTTTGCGCAAGGATGAGACCCTCCTTGTCTGGGTAGCAGCCCGGGGTCCTGTTATCTGATCAGCAGCCCATGATCTTCTTTGTTCCTTTCGGGAAGACTTCTTCCTTTGTTTATGATGAGGGGATGCTTTGTTAAAACCTCACTAGGAAAAAACCCGGTGGGAAAAAATCATTGTGAAGGAAAAAGAGTACACTGAAACCTTAAAATAAAGAAAAGGAAGGTTAGTCCCCTCGGTTCTTGATTGAGTGTCTGCCTTACTGGTAAGCCGATATATGTTCGGGAAAGGCCAGTCGCACGGCTGTTTGCCAGTGGTGGCGGTCGAGCCAAGGTGTGCTCGGGAGAGACCACCCGCATAACTGTTTGCTGATGATGCCGAGCCAAGGCATGCCCATGAGAGGCCGGTCGCAAAGCTGTCTGTTGATGATGCCGAGCCGCGGTATGCTCGGGAGAGGGTGGCTCCACAGCTGTGCACATTGATCCCCACTGCTTGCGAGAGGATAAGGTTTCCTTCATCTGGGTAGCAGTTCTAGGTCATGTTTTTCTGATTAGCCACCCGAGGTCTTCTTCTTCTAATTAGCATCCTGGGGTATTGAAATATTCGAAATGATAATAATGCTCAACATCCACCTCATTTCTTCCAGGACAACAAAGAAGGGTGAGCCAGAACTCAAGAGAAAGTTTTAAACAAATATTAAATAATAAAATTAACCACAATTTATCATAAAAGTTATTAATACAAAAAAGATAATTCATTATGCTACAAAGTTCATTGCACTCGGCGATCTTTTACTTTAGCAAACTCGTCGATAAGAGAATCTATATCTATTGTGCTAACAAGTTTTCTTTCGTTATATTATCAGCTAGAAAGTCATCAACCATCTTATTTCGAATCACAGTCTTGACATGCTTCATCGCTGAAAATGCTCTCTAAGTAGTGGCCATAGAAACTGGTATTGTTAATACAAGGCGTATCAATCTTGTAATCATTTTAAAGTCTTCAGCCTTTCTTGTTTTCACCAACATTTCACATAAATTTACAAGAGTAGGAACTTGAAATTGAGAGTTTTTTACCACATGAGCATGATAAAACGTGAGCTCAGTCATTAAAGGATTCCTCCCATGTTGCTCAAAATCATCGGGATAAAACTCCACAACAAGCTTATATATATGATCGGCATTATAAGATTCAAAAGAGTTCTTCAGATTCAATGCCACACTAAGTTCCATAAGTCTAACTGCTGTCTCATTAAATCTTGATTCTAACTCTGCAACTTGAAAATCGATGGACTGATTGAAATATTCGAAATGATAATAATGCTCAACATGCACCTCATTTCTTCCACGACGCATTTTGCTCTTCAAATCAGGTATAATGATTTTATGTTTTAAGCAAAAATCTTCTATTTGCTTAAACGTATACTCCCATCCCTTACCCCTCAAATCATGAAGAAGAGCTTTGGCAGTTGAAACATATCCAAGCGCAGATAAAATGTCAACATATTGCTTTTGAAATGCTTGACAAACAAAGTCAGTTATGCCCATAATAGCTCTCATGGCATGCAAACTAAACACAAAATTAAAACTTTGAATACTTGAGCACGCTCCCTCTGCTTCATTTCGGGTCTTTGAATTTGACCCATCACAAGCAATATTTTCAAGCACCTTGCAAGTTGCATTATACAATTCAAGCATACTTGGAACATATTCATAATGAGAGCCCCAACGAGTTGTACCTGAACGCTGTAAAGATGACATTTGGTTGGCCCCTCGCCGAGATTGTCGCTCCCCACTTTCCAACATAGCACCAATTTCTAATCTATGAGCATCTTGTAGTTCTGTATTGCGCTTAGCAGAATACTTTACAATATTAATGACTTTGTCTAATAGAGAAAAGAATTTCCAAATAGGATCACATTGCTTTGCTGCAGCCACCAATGTCAATTGCAACCTATGAGCAAAACAATGGGCATAATACGCAAATGGACAATCATTAATAAACAATGCTTGCAATCCATTCCATTGCCCTCACATGTTGCCAGCGTCATGATTGTTGTCTTTAACCGTAACCATTTTTTAAACTTCCTCTTTGATAACTCTCTCAATGACTTTTATCAATATGTTGAGACGGTCTCATCAAAGAATCACCATATGTCACACATTTATTATGAGGAGATGCAAAAGATGTACCAATATGAAGAAGAAATACACACTCCTTGCCCTGATGGACTCTCTTCCAATTATCATATCCAGTGCTCACTAATGCAGAAGTCTTAGATGAATGCACATTATCACAGAAAAGAAAGCACAATAAACAATATGCCTTGTGTGTAGTAAGAGAGTACTTTTGCCAATTAAACTCATTATACCAACTCGACTAAAAATGACGAATTTTATCTTTATATTTGCGACCCTTATATGTCTGAAGTTTTGGTTGATAAGGGCCGAATATCAAATATAGTCGTCTCACTTCATCCCTTTTATCTAAAAGCCAATCAGATATTTTTTCCTTTTTCCAGGATCTCTTTCAATCTCCACCGAAGTACAAGAAGACAAGTTTTCAACATTACAAATATTTTGATGCTCGCTTGTACCTGGATCTCTTTCAATCTCAACCGGAGTAGAAGTAGACTGATTTTCAACATCACAAATATTTTGACTCAATTGGAATAATACGTTAATGGGAATATTATTCCTTGCCTTCTTAGGCCATTCGGCCATTAATATAAATACAAATAGCCAGTAACGTAGCCATGCAAGGCATACAGCTGGCAACCCATGATGTGAGCCAAGATTTATGCTAACTATAAATAATTACAATGTATCTAGCTATAACTAGGACTAGGTGCAATAATACACATAATAGGTAAGAAATAATATAGTTAATAGCAAATGAATGACTTGTCCGGTAGTAGTACTAGTATGTAACAGTTAATTCGCCCCCGCAGTTGATACGTGAGGTGACCGAACGTGGAGACTGGACCTGAATTCATCAAACAAAATGCGTGGCAAACCCTTGGTGAATATGTCCGCGAATTGATGGCGAGTGGGGACATGTAGAATATGAACCTCTCCACGAGCCACTTTTTCCCGAACAAAGTGTATGTCGATTTCAATGTGTTTGGTCCGTTGGTGTTGTACCAGGTTTCCCGCCATGTACATGGCGCAAATATTATCACAGCACACAATGGATGCTTTGGTAGGAGGGGAATGTAGCTCAAGGAGAAGGTTACAAATCCAGCATAATTCGGCGACAACGTTTGCAACACCACGGTACTCGGCTTCGGCACTAGAGCGAGAGACGGTGGTTTATCTTTTGGAGGACCAAGATAATACGTTGTCACCCAAGAAAACACAGTAGCCGGATGTGGAAAGCTGCCCCAATCCGCGTCAGTGTATGCAATGAGTGAGTGAGATGGGGATTGATGGAGATGTAAACCGAGATGGACAGTACCACATATGTAACGAATGATTCGTTTGAGAGCATGAAGATGGGGCTCCCGTGGGTCATGCATAAACAAACAAATTTGTTGGACGCCATAGAATATATTGGGCCGGGTAAAGGTGAGATATTGCAAAGCACCGGCAAGGCTACGGTAGAGGGTAGGGTCATGCACCGCGGGGCCGGTTGTTGCGCTGAGTTTGGCTTTGGAGTCTACTGGGGTGGTTACCGGGTTGAACTGGTCCATTCCTGCACGGCTAATGATGTCAAGAGCATATTTCTCTTGGGATAAAAATAGGCCGCCGGGCAGTGTGGTGATAGAAATACCCAAGAAAAATGAGAGAGGCCCGAGGTCAGTCATGGCAAACTCGTGATGTAGCCGAGATAAAATGTCCCGTCGGAGAGTATCAGAGGAAGCCGTGGGAATAATGTAATCCACATAAAGTAAAATAAAGGTGGTGCCATGATTACCCCGGAGGATGAATAAAGAATGATCACATTTGCTATGGACAAAGCCGAGAGTGGCTACATACATTGCAAACCGTTGGTACCAAGCCCAAGGGGCTTGCTTTAAGCCATTAAGTGATTTGAGAAGTTGGCAAACATGGTGCGGCCGAGAGGAGTCACGGTAGCCGGGCAGTTGGTGCATGAAAACGGTCTCCTCAAGATGTCCATGGAGAAATGCATTCTTGACATCCAATTGGTGCAAAGGCCAAGAATGGGAGAGAGCAATGGTAAGCACTGTGCGGATGGTAGCGGGTTTGACCACCGGGCTAAAAATTTCATCAGGGTCAACACTGATTTGTTGAGAGTTGCCATTAACCACTAGCCACGCTTTGTGACGTTCAAGGGAGACGTCCGACCTGTATTTGTGCTTAAACAACCACATACAACAAATAATGTTAGTTTCGGGTAGCCGGGGAACCAACTGCCACGTCCCATTTTTAATAAGTGCACTAAATTCGTCATCCATGGCAGCTTTCCAGTACGGGTCACGTAGGACGGTGACGGGATTTTTGGTATGGGAAATGTGTGTATAGCGGCCGAGAGGTTGAGGATTGTCTTGGGTTTGAATATGCCGGCTTTAGCCCGAGTGACCATGGGGTGAGGTGGAGGGGTTTGATGGGCAGTAGGGGAGGGAATGTTGGGTGGGCTGTGGAAATTTGGTGGGTGGGAGTCGTTTGTGGAAGTCTGGTGGGTGAGAGTGGGAGGAATTGGGTTTGCCGAATTGGTGTCGGCTTGGTGAAATGGGTTTGTCGGTGGGGAGGAAATTGGGGGGCTGTTGTTGTGGTTTCCTGTGGCCGAGGACGTGGGTGAGGAGTTGGTGTCCGTAGGGGGAGGTTCGGATGTGTGCATGGGCCATGCATGGGGATCCGGGGGTATGGTGAGAAGAAGGTGTATATGGTCATTAGATTGTGGGACCATGAGGGGTTGAGAGTGGTGATGATGACACAGAAAAACAGCCTCGTTGAAGGTGACGTGGCGGGAGATTATTATTTTGTGAGAAGAAAGATTCATACAAATATACCCTTTATGGTTATCCGGATACCCTAAAAATATGCAAGGTTCGGACCGGGGTTGGAGTTTGTGGATGGTGGACGAGGGGGTGTGTGGGAAGCATAGGCATCCGAAGACACGTAGATGGGTGTATGTGGATATTTTATTATATAAAAGGAGGGTAGGGGTGTGAAAATTTAGTGTTTGAGAGGGTAAAATATTGTGGAGGTAAGTGGCCATTTTAATTGCACAGGTCCATAATTTTAGGGGTAGAGAGGCATGAATTAAAAGTGTACGTGCCACATTATTTAGAGTGCGGATGGTACGTTTGGCCTTGCCATTTTGAGGTGAGGTGTATGGACAAGAGTAACGAAAGTGGATGCCGTCGGTGGCACCGAAATTGGTAAATTGAATGTTACGAAATTCAGTCTCATTGTCACATTGTAGAATTTTTATACGTTGCTCAAATTGTGTGTGAACAAAATTATAAAATGTGACAGGTGGAGAAAGTTTGAGATTTATGGTGAAGGGGGTAGACCCATAAAATTTTTGTGTAGTCATCTAAAAATAAAACATAGTAGCGATGTCCGGTATTACTTAACACATGAGAAGTTCATAAATCACTATGTATTATTTCAAAAGCTTTAGAAGTAGATGACAAAGAATGAGAAAAAAGTAACTTAACTTGCTTGCCCATTTGACAGGAAGTACAAACGGAAACATGAATTTTATTACAAGAAATAACATTATTGGAGCGAAGTAAATTGAAAACCGGATCCCTCGGATGCCCTAGCCTACTATGCCAAAGTTCAGCGGGAAGTGTGATGAAGGCGGATGCATGGTTTGTGCGTGGGCCTAGGCTGGGTTGCACCGGGTAAAGGTGGCCGGAACTATTGCACTGTAGAATTTTTGTCCCTGTGTGGAGATCCTTCACAGAAAAACTAAGGGGGTCAAATTCAACGGAAACATTGTTATCAGTGGTAAATTGACGGACAGAAATAAGATTTTTGATTAAATGGGGGGCATGGAGTACATTTTGTAGGTGAAGTGGGGAAGGGGACGTGGGTAGGGTGGTGTTACCATGACCGAAAATAGGGACGGACATGCCATTTCCAACCAAGATACGATTATTAGTGCGCAAATTAAAATAGGGTGTGAGAGTACCTAAGGAGGAGGTCATGTGTGAAGTTGCCCCGGTGTCCATATACCAATTGTTGTCCGGCGGAGATAGTGTCATGGTGTGCATGGCCGCTTGAATGTCGGTCGGGGTTTGAGTAGAGCTGGAGTAGTGGGCTTGTGGGCGTGCCCCAAGAATGCCGGAGGAAGTGGGAGGGGGTGGTGGCTGATGTGGTAGGGGGTGGCAGGGTAAGGGCATGGGGGTGAAGTCCAAGGATTAGGGGGCCAGTATGCCCATGGGCTAGGTGGTGGGGTTGGCAGGGCAGAGGGGTAGTGTGGGCGATGGTTGGGGTTGTTTCGGCCACCGCGGCCTTTTGGACGGGCCTGGCGATTGGCAGGACGGGGATAGGCAGCAGGAGGCCGAGGGGGAGGGGGGTTATTGCCGGTGTGGAGCATGGCGGTGGGTGGGTTGCCGGCCTGTTGATTCTTACGGGCTTCTTCAAGGGTTAACATAGAGCGGGATTTGGTAAAGAGTGGGATAGGGTCGGCTTGTTGAATGAGGGAAGCCACGGTGTCAAAGTGTTCTGGCAAGCCGTTGACGAGACGGAGAACAAGCCGGCTATTGGTAACCGGAGCACCCACATTGGCGAGTTGATCGGCCAAGATTTTGAGGGTTTTGCAATAAGAGGAGATGTTGGGGAATTGGTCCAGGCGGGTGTTGGAAAACTGATTTTCCAAGTACACCGCCCGGGAATACCGGTTGTCTTGAAAGATGTCCTCAAGGTGTAGCCAAGCCGCATGCGCCGTGGAGTCGGGCTCGATGATCGTGTGGAGGAGATCATGAGAGATGGTTCCGTATATCCATTGAAGGACGACGGCATCCAAACGATCCCAGAGAGCCTTAGCTTCGATTGCGGTGGCTTCTTGTTCAAGCCGCTGCTCCAACGTGGTGGGGGAGGCAGGAGGTTGGGTAGAGGAGGCAATGGTGTTAGGGAGGATATGGTCGATGACTTGATATGCTCGGGCCGTAATTTTGAAGAGTTCTGCCCAGGAGGAATATTCCACGGTTTCAAGGTTGAGAGTAATGGGTATGAAGTTTTTGATATTAGAGATGGCCAGGGCCGGGTGAAATTTTGGGGAAGAAGAAGACATGGCTAGAGAAAGGAGAGGAGCTGGTGATACCAAATTGGAATAATACGTTAATGGGAATATTATTCCTTGTCTTCTTAGGCCATTCGGCCATTACTATAAATACAAATAGCGAGTAACGTAGCCATGCAAGGCATACAACTGGCAGCCTATGATGTGAGCCAAGATTTATGCTAACTATAAATAATTACAATGTATCTAGCTATAATTAGGACTAGGTGCAATAATACACATAATAGGTAAGAAATAATATAGTTAATAGCCAATGAATGACTTGTCCGGTAGTAGTAGTATGTAACGGTTAATTGACTCCCGCTAGTACCTTCGCTTTGTATTTTACTAGCGGGTTTAAAGAAAGAACCCAAAGTGACTTTGTTTTTCTTCAAAGGAGGTTGTTGAGTAGCCATAATTTCCTCTATCAAATCCAAATAATTTTAAAAATCATTATAAATTATTGAGAGAATATTAAAGTAAAAAAAAACTAGCATATTAAAGTGAATTATTCTGAAATCTCAATTCTGACATTCATATATTCATATAAATTATATTCATATAAGTGCTTAACAATTTACAAACTCATAATATACACTGATATACACTAAAACATAATTGAAAAAATGCACAATATAAAAAATAGTAGATAAACACAAAATAAATTCATTCAAGTCATGACTAATTAAGATTCAATGATACAATGTCAAAATGAAATATATTAAAAATACAATTCATAAATTAGGACTAGAACAATTACCTCTATTCCTAGAGCAAGGGCCAGATTTCGTCCGCCACCCCGCCTTCGTTGTCCACTTGTCCGCAGATCGCAGCCATCGCACATGTGGCACAGCCGCGCAGCCCGTGCTCCCCAGTCCTCCCAAGCCGCACCAGTCGCTCGGCAGTCGCACACAACACACTCCGTTTTTGATTTGTTTGAAGTGTTCCAATCGTCCGTCTACCGTCTTTTGTTTTCATAGGGATTGGGCGGCAGCTTAAGCGTACAAAGTGAAGAAACAGAGTATTATACTGGACCTATTTTTATTTACACTGGGCTAGTTCAATTTATTTTTGTGGTAATTACCCCAACAATCTACTTTGGTATGCTCTTTATCATTTATATCCCACATACTTTTTCTTTTCAATTTTAACTTTTAAATTTTCAATTTGATTTTCTTATTTCACTTTTGGCCAATTTTCTCGACCTAGAGCTAAGCAGGGATTCCCGATCGTCAAAATTTTAGGAAGGTCCGTCAGAGCGAACACAAAGAGGCGTGAGCGACATCCGGTCTGGAGGAGCGAGCGACACCGACCTGCGGAGGAGCTGGTTCGATCTTCCACATTTCTTCTTCCGCTCACTCTTCGCTCGCGCATCTCCTCTGTGGCTATGTGAAGCATCATTATTGCATCAACGCTAACTCACCATAGTCTCTGAGTCACAGAGTCACTGTAATATGACACATGAATTCGCTGGTCACTTTTTTGTCCTCATAGCTTGATTGCCTCGCTGGATCTCCAAATTGCTCCAAGCTGACGAACGAGTTCAGGCAAAAGGTATCCCTGCCCTCCTTAATTCATCTCCAAGCTGAATTTCTAACCTTTTAAGTTTCTAACCTATTTTTTTAAAGCTAATCTTATACTTATATGTCAGTTTGTAAACTTGTAATCCAAAGCCTAAAGATGCTTGTTTTTGAATTATTTTTATAATCTGAGTTGAAATTGCTTAATCCAAAATCCTCAAATTGTTTAATTTGTATAGATTTGTATAATTTTTATAAGGAATATTACTATTACATCTCAATTATTCTCAATTATTGCTTTTTACTTTTTGTTATGATATTGAATTTAGTGTAATGTATTGTTATCTATATAAGCTTTAGTTGTGCTTTAGATTCTCCTCATTCACGTTTTCTCCTTTTGGCTCATGTTCTCTCCTTGATTTTGATTTGGTTTATTTTATATCTTGATGTGTTATATTTATTTTCTGAAATATGCTTGGATGTATAAATCTTTTTATCAACAACCGTACACTACTGTAGTATTTCTAGCATCGTATTTGGCTGAAAGTTCAAAACAAGATATTAGTTGTCTTGAGAAGCTAATTCTAGTTCTTTGTTTCTAGTGATGGAAAGGGATAACGATGGTTCTTCTGTTGTTTCTTTGTATTGCAGACACATTGTACACTCTTCATACTTTACTAATATTTGGCTTTATCTATTTGTCATATTGTTGTGGATATATTTTGGTGTACAATGCTTTTTTGCCTACTTTATTGTTACATTTATGTCATAGTGATTGTGATGTGATTGCAGGCACAAGGAAGACAAAGTACACAAAGATGATAATAAATTTGAGAAGATCAATGAGGAATTTAGAGTCAAGTATGAAGAGTCTTGTATCAAGATGGATAAAAAGAAGAATGAATGATACAATACAAAACCAAACAGTATAATAAATATAAATGTATTACATTGAAATAATAGATCAAGTTATATATTTATCGTGATATTATTATATGTTGTTTTTGTTTCTTTTTGTTGCATACAATGTGTTGTTTTTTGTTGCATTATGTTTCTTTTTGTTGCACCATGTTTCTTTTTGTTGCATACAATGTGTTTTTTTTTGTTGCATTATGTTTCTTTTTGTTGCACCATGTTTCTTTTTGTTTCTATTACATTGTTTTATTTTGTTACTTTTTGTTGCATTATGTTGTTTTTTGTTGCATCATTTTGCTTATTGTTATTTATCGTTGATTATGACATTTGTTGTGTATTTAGGTTTATGTTTAACTCTCCAGCATACTCATTTGGAATGAAAATCATATAGTTATATATATAAACACTTAAACTGAAAATTTTTGATTTATAAATGTCAACAATAACAAGATACATGCAGAAACACATAGTGAAACATTAAAAAACAAAAAGTTTAAAGTTATCAACAAAAAGAAACACAAATAAATAATACTTCGGGGTATCCAACAAAAGTAACAACAAATGATAATAATGGTAATTTTAGCGCTATTCAAGTTTTAGATAATTTTTTACTATTATTTCTTATAACTTTTTGTTTTCTTTTTTTTATTCATTTAAAATTTTATGTACTCAATTGTGTTTTAATCATATTTTCAGTTTTACCATAAAAAATTATATTTTCAGTTTTTTTTTAAAAAAAATTCTTTTAATTATTCATTTATAATTATTTTCATATTTTTCATACTTCCAAAATAAATTATATTATATTATTTTCTATAATTATTTTATATGTATAAATTATATTATATTATTTTATACATTTTTCATACTTTCAAAAATAAATTATGTTCTATATACGTAGATTTTCATTTAATTTGAATATTTTAGATTTTTTAAAATATTATTTATACTTTTCAGTTTTTTAAATAAGTTCCTATTTTTTTACATATAAATATATGTTTATATATTTCCCCTTTTTATTAAATTTATATAAGTTTGACTTTTATATTTTGATTGTTTTTTTATACATTTAAATTTGGAGCATAGGTTTTAAAACAGTTACATTGCAAAAAATTGTATTGTTGTAAATTTTCTGATTGTTAAAAAAAAAATTTTTAGTTTTCTCATTTCTATACTTTTTTTAAAAAAATTCTAATATAATTCTTAACATTTTATCCCTTTTTGAGTTTTAAATTTTATTTATAAGTTTTCGACTCTGAATTCTTTATAATTTATTATTTTTCTTAACTAACTATTTTCATTTTCTCTTAAAAAATTTCCAATTATTTTCATTTTTTACATTAATTTTTAAATTGTTTTCTATTTGAAAACAAGAATGAAGTATTTCTTTAAGTTTGTAGTGTTATTATAGAGTTGGAAAGCTAGGAGCACTTGTTGAAGTTAGTTAGGAGCACTTCATGAAGTTAGGTATTAGCGGTTCCAGGAACGGGTTTGATATACGGAGTACTACGTAGATAATAGACTTTTGTGAAAAGAAGATGGTAGAAAGTCTAATTTTGAAAGAAACTTTGAAGGAGGATAAAAGTGATATTGTTTTCCTTTTTAGTCTCCTTGTGAAAATTTCCCTTTATTTTTTATGTATCCTATGTACTATTAGGCCAACTAACCCTGGGCCAGGCCCAGTAAGGCCCCCCTCCTACGCCCCTGAGTGACATCGATACTTTCCGGTGGATAAAAATATCAAGTAACGTCGATGTGTCACAAGTATGAAAAGGAAAAAAGAAATAATGATTTGTGTACTAATTTTATATACTATTGCATATAAATGTAATTTTCTTTAAAATCATTCTAAAAGGATATGAAGTGTTTAAGTCTTGCTTTATTTTAAGGACTAGCGGAGTACACACTATGTGCGAAAGTTGCCCAACATTTCCATCTACTCTCACCAATTTGTGGTTTGCTAATCTTCAATTGCAATTATATGGAATCGTATAAAATGTCATACTCATTTTGTCAATAAAATAAGAAATAATAGTTGATTACAACAATATATGATGGAGTATATGGCCCGGGAACCCCCGGCCCACAGACTCCTACCACTCCAGTAAAGGCCCAACAGGCCCAGAAGGCCCAGCAGGCCCAAATCATGGCGCCCGGAGTACCAAGCAGCCCACAGTGCACCAGGGGTGCCTTCGACCCCCTGGCCGAAGGCTCTAAAATCTCACAGAACGGGTTTCTCAAGCAAACTAAGAAACTGGGAGAAAACAGTGAGAACAGTAGCCCTCGGCACCAGAAGCCCTCGGCACCAGGGTGCCCTCGGTTTCAGGAGCCCTCGGCTACTCCTCTATAGCCGAAGGCACCTCACTCGACAAGATCTCCTCTTCACGCGCGTACAGATCACCGTACCCTGTACAACGTCCCATCCAACAGTCGCATTAAATGCGGCCACATGCGGTTGCCAGCGCCAACCGGATGAGGTGACCTCTCGGCCAATGGATACTTGACACGTGTCCCTGCCCGGCATTTATTGCTACTATAAATAGCACCCCCTTTCCCCGTTGTAAACCACGACATTCATACTGAATACACTCTCTCTCTTACTTACTTATGCTCTGACTTCTCTCTAAATTACTCCCCGTAAGAACCCCTCGGATAAGCTACCCCCCGGGTACACTATCCATCACTTGGTGCTCTCGTTGAGAGGTCGAACAATCGAGTAAGAAGCCCTCCCCCTTCACCAAACACTAGCCCTCTACCAAAATGGTGAGAACAACACGTGCCAACTCCAAAAACGTGGAAGACAAGAACCTGGACCTCGGCGACGTCAACGCCCCCGAAGCCTCTCACAGGGCTCCCGAGGGCGGTGTCATCGCTGGGTTGGAACAGGCGGCTGTCGACCTTCGCCTTCAGATCCAACAGAATGCCCCTGATGCCCGCCTCGGCATCGTGGCCAAGAAGAAAAACCGGAGCGACGACCAAGTCAGCCCTCCGGTTCTCACCATCGACGTTCAATCGGCGCTCTCCGCCTTCATCCAGACGCTCACTCAGAACCCAGGTGCCTTCGGCTCAACCCTAGGTTGGGGAGAACATCGCACTTCCCCCTCTGCCACACCCCTTCGGAAACCCCATCCCTCGGGTAAGGAATGACGAAGGGGTAGTGGCCCAAGATACGGCCTCCCAGGAAGTTCAGTCCCGGGACCGCCACAATGACAACAGAGAAAGGCCCCGCACTTCCGCCCTCAACCGGCTCGGAGGAGGACAGGACCGCCGAGGGGTCCAAGACCGCCTCGGAGGGAAAGCACTCCAAAGGCCCCAGGAGAGCGGAGGGTCTGTCTCGAGGGCAGACGAGG